GAGTCGCATGCTCTACTGACTGAGCCAGTCATGTGCCCCTTCAGCTTCAAGGTTCTAACTCTTGGAGGGCATGGTTTAAAATTGGAGACAACATGTTCTCGCATATATGTTTCCAAGTCTGGTAGACCACCTGTGTCTTTGGTTGGGTCAAAGTTGAAGGGATGAGAGAATTGACCAGCTGTCCAGTGGTTCTTATTTGTATGTCCCGAGAATACTCTTGTCCATGTAACAGATGGGCATAATTCTTGGATGTGCGGCACTTTATCCATCATACAGGTTGTATAGATCAGTGGCATTAAGTTGGACTCTCCCAGTCCTTCTCTCTCAGTGGGTCAATAATGACAAGGATAGTTAACATTTCTGGAGTGCTTAGCTCAGTGAAAAATGGGATTCTCTCAACAATGCCATGAGTTCGGTTCTGTTTTTACCTCCATTTAATAAAGGAAGGAACTGAGACCAAGAGATTGAGCAGCTTGCCCAAGGTCCCAGATTTTGAGTGACAGAGACAGGATTTAAACCCAGGATGTCTGATTCTGGAGTCTGTGTGTTTGATCACCACACTGCATGGACTCATCACCAACACTGCTGATTATCAGGTAATAATGTTGAGTCATTGCTCTCCAAGCCGCTCCGGCCCAGAGAAGGACACAACACTGGTAGGATGGGTCACACTGGTGAAATTTTATTAAACCTTCTCCTCCATTAAATAATCTCTGCCTTCAGGGCTTAAGCCTACATGTTCCTTTTGTTACGTGGTTTTATTTCAGTGGGTAAAGCTGGTTCTGTGTGCGCACAGGGCTGACATGGGTGGTGTGGGTCTGGGGAAGGCGAAGTAAAGGGCACAGCAAGGGGAGAAAATAATTTCTCTGGCTTCATGTTCACTGCAAAGTCACTCAGTTGATTGAGTCCTTAATTTCTCTAGTAAATGGAGACAATTATACTTGCTATCATCTTCTTTAAAGAAGTAACTAAGTGACTTGTGTGGGTGTCTGTATATACAGAGAGAGAGAAAGAAAGAAAATGATCAAGATGCTTGGATAGGTAGTTAGGTAGATGACTCGAAATTGTAACCTCTAATTGTCGCTTCATAGGCTAGGATTACATACTCTCTGTGCTGCCCATAAACAGTGTGGTATATTAGCATGGAAGGAAAAAGCAGAGATTGGGTTTTAGGCTTAGTCATTAATGGAAAAATACAGTTTTCTCTGGCTTTATGCTGCTATCGCCTAAACCTCCAACCCCTAAATTCCTTACCTTGTTGAGAAAGAATAAGTCCCGTTTGCTCTTGAGGTAGTTGGACAGATTTCCGTATTTGCAATATTCAACGATCACCATCAGGGGCCCTGTACGCAAAACAGGTGGCTTATCACTTGTCACTTCTCAAGGGCAGTGGAGAAACAGGCAGCCTACGGCTGGGTCTCTATGACTCTAGTTGGGGTCTCCCAGCCCTTAGCTGCTTTCTGTACCCACTGCTACTCCCAACATGTAGGGTCTTCCCGACTACCCTTCATCTCTACTAGTTTTGTTGACCTTGGAAAACACCGATGTGCACAGGTCTTTTGCTCCTTTCTTTCTGGCTTAAGCAGTGATCATACATCTATACCCAAGTGCTAACCTTGCCACAGGGGAAGATAGAAAGGTCTTCAGGAACATGCTGGAGCCCTGAGTCATGACCACAGCCCTGTCCCAGCCACTTGCCCCAGTGGGTAAAACCTGTCTGAAGGGAAGGGCCCTTCTCATTGTCCCTCACATCCCCTCCTCCTGGGATCCCACCAGTAGTGACTCCTTCCTTTATGTGGAGCTTCAAGGAAAGCTCACCCTTCTATCCATTACCTTAGCTCTGGCCACACTCCTTCAAAGCCATCCTGAGAGAAAAATGCTCTCCACTTGACCTGGAGCCCCTGGAAGGAGGTCTCAAAGGGAATCCTTCTCTTTAGAAACTTTCAGTTAACTGTACAGGAAGGGCATTTTTAGGATGGGAGCGCCTTTCCATAAATGGACAAATTGTTTCCTCTGGACCTACTGAGAGGCCGTTTTTCAGGAGATGAGGAGGAACGGGGAGAAGGAGCTATATATCGGACTCTGCTCTTGGCATGTGAATCGGGAGAGGGAGCAGGCCCTCCTCATTTACCTCCTTGCTTGGTACAGGCTCCCAGCAGGTTGACTACATTCAGATGGTGGCCAATGTGGGTCAAGATCTTGAGCTCAGTCATCAGAGCTTTGTACTCACTGGCTGTGGCCCCCTCTGTGTGAGAAACAAGGAAGAGTCAGGGCGACAGGACAATGGGGCTCTTTCCGCTGGAGGCGGCATTCCTGCCCTCCATGTTTGCCAGTGCTCAGCCGGTAGCTTCATTAACTTCCCCACATTCTGCAGAAAGGCCCGGTCTCCAGACTGTTTTCATTACTCCCTCCCTCCAACATCCTTTTGATTACAGTAAGGCCCAGAAGCAGTGGTGGGGTTAGTCACTGGGCATTTCCTCTTGGTGGACCTGGTCTGCTCAGCAATGCGCTGACTCAGAGCTGGGCACCTTGTGAAGGCGCCTTCCAAAGGCTTCCGCTTGGCAGAACCAGGCGCAGCAAGAACCTTCCAGACAGGGGATGTGCCCACACCTCCCCTCTTTTTCTCACTTGCCCCTCTTTGAAGAGTTACAAAGAAGGAGCACCAGGGGTCTGCAAGAGTGGAATGGCCACTTCTGTAAACATCTTTGCAATGTGTTATTTTCTCCCTATAACCTTTTCCTCCCTGGAGTCTGCAGGGTTATCTTGAGTTGTAAGGATCCATAAGCATCTGACTTCAACTTCATTCGCAGAGATAAACAACATCACTCTAAGATTTAGCAGAGTCTAAAGCCTAAATGAAGTTTGTTCTGTTTGTTTTCTCTCTTTCTTTTTTTGGTGGTGGTGGGGAGGGGGGTCTTTCTTATTGGTTAATTTATAAGGCATTTACAAAATTTAAAAAATAAAGTCATATAATCTTGCTGTAAAATATTCCAACAATATGATTTATACAGAGTAAAAAGTGAAAGTCATTCCAACCGCTTACTTCCCTAGACTTTTTTCTACATATTTATTAACATATAGACCTACTTAAAGGTCTTTTTGTTTTGTTTACGTAAATGGAATCCTTTCTATTTTTTTAAGATTTGCTTTTTAATATGTCAGAGACTTTTTCCATTCTTGTTAGTTGATTAATAGCATTCTTGACGTTCGAACTGTCTCTAGTTTGTGTGTGTGTGTTTTGCCGTTACAAATAATGCTGTAGTAGATAGCCAATGTGTAATCTTTGTGCACATATGCAAGTATTTCTGTAGAACAGTCTGCGAAATGGCCAGAGCATGTGCATGGTATTTCATAAGCACAAATCATTTTTAAATTATTTTTTAAGTAATAACCAGATAAACACTAGAAGCTTTCCAACGGGGTTGAGATGGGCTCACAGTAGATGCTCAACAAATATTTGTTAGAAAAATAAACACTGTGAATACTCTTCTCATTTCAGACATGGGCATGAGGCCCAAAAAGGTTAAAGGTTCTGCTCAAGGGCACTTTGAAGGAGCTTCTGACTCACGGCCTATGTCTGGCATTCTGTCTTTTCAGTTTCTCCTAGAAACAGATGGCCAACCAATTCGAGCAAGAAAGCTGAATGAAAATGGTTTTTAGGAATTTTATATAGTGGGTGATTTGGCAATCTTTTAAAAATCAAGGCTCATGGCTTAAAAAGATAAGCATTTATAAAGATATTGCAAACGCTGTTTCTGTATTGCAAAGAATACATTTTGGGGGCCTTTAAAATTTTTCAAGTCAGCATCATCCCCCTCAAACTCATCAGTCCCTGCATGCTTTTATGCCCCTTCGGCACAGAGGGGAAAAAAACCAAGCTCTCTTCCTCGGATTGTTCCATTTACAGGCAGGTGTTATCTTGGGTGGACAATAGACAAGCATGGGCAGCAGACCCGCCTCTCCAGGAGATGGTGTGTGGTAGTACAGGGAAATGGGACCAGCTGAGGAAGCAGATGCTTCCAGATGGAGTTTCAGCTTCGTTCAAGGTTGGATATTAGGTTGCTTCCATAACTTGGGCTAGGACCATGTTAGGATTTTGGCGCAACGGGCCATTTCCTGGAGGCCGGGTCTCGGCAGCCCCTCTTATGTAGCACTGTGCGGGGGAGGGTTGGGGGGGGTGTGTGCTGCACTCAAACCCTGACTTTTGCACTGGTGAGCTGTGGGACCTTGCAGAGGCAATTTAACCTCTCAGAGCCCTGTTTGCTCATCCACCAACTGGGAAAATAATATGTACCTCAAAAGGCTGGAGAGGAAAAAAAAGAAAAACGGCAATTTCATGTGGTTCAACCTAACACATGAAAGCACTTAGTCTGGCGCTTTCTCATACAGAGGACATGTTGATGCCTCTTCTCTTCAGCATCTGGGGCACGGGGTGCGGGGCAGGGTGCTGGAATGCAGGGATTCTCACAGGGAGGCCTGCCATCATCTGGGCAGTCCATTTTGAGCAGAAATCCTGCTTCGTGGGCATAAGAGTCCTTCTCTGGTTACTTTCTGGTAGAACGGTCAGGTTCCTCGAAGAGCTTTATCAGAGACTTTGCCTGACAAGGACAGCCTTTTGGGGTAGAAAATATCATCTCGTGGGGCTCTTGCAAAGCTGGCATTGATGCTGGAAGAAAGGAAGTGCTCCGAAATCTCCCTGTGCAAACGGTCCTTTCTCCTGGAGCCTTTCCTAGGGATCTGCTTGGCTGGGTTCATGGCCTCCCATGCCTCAGGAGCCCCTGGTCGTATCTCGGAGAGTTGGGAAAGCTAGAAAAATGCCCTTTGGGTTTCCAGCACTTTTGGGTTTTGGAATCTGAAAATGAGTCAAAATGACATGAATATTCCATCATAAATGAAGAAATGAAGTATCTTCCATACTTCAAAAGAAATACGCATCTTTGAGATGTCTGATGTATGTAGTTTTCACGTATTTTCATTTTCATCTGTCTTGTGGTCATGAATCACAAAGTGATTCATGTGACTTCACTTCTCACGTGCTTCAGAGAGTGGTAGTATCTTTCAACATGAGAAAGATTAGATAGATAGATAGATAGGTTTTTTTAATTTCTAAGAGGAAATGTTTTGCGGGTAGGATCTGACAGTATGAAACAGTTTAGATTTCTGAGGATCTCAATTATTCCAGCTTCATAGTTTTACTTTATAGTTAGGTCAAGCCCCAGCTAAGCCTTTGGGATTTATGATGCACAGCTAATTTCCCATTACAAGGTCATAATGGATCATTCCAAAACTTTGAACCTGTGGTTACAGCGAGCTTAAGTCCCTAGTATTTTAGAGCCCACGATGGGAGAGGAGAAAGATCTTTGAGGTGACAGAAATTGTTTTCTCGTGGACAGTGCTGGGTTGTTTCATTTACAACGTTTATTCTGAGCTCTCAGGGGCCTGATCTAAAACTCCTGAAGCCAAGGATGCTTCTAGCAGTGCAAGATCGTTATGTGACCCAAGCAGAAATAGCTGCGTCTATACCTAGGCCATATCTAGCTCGTACCAGTGTTTTGGGACTGCAACCGGTCCGCTAAAAGCCAAACTATGACACCCATACCTTTCAGCATTTTTACAGCCACAGTCCGGCACGTGGGTGATTTCTTAATGCCAAATGCAGAAGCTTGAACCACTTTTCCAAAAGCTCCTCTTCCAAGTGACTTGCCTGCAATGAAAAGAAGACATTGGTTCGTTTGCCAAGCCAGCAGGGTGAGGTTAAGTCTTTTTCCGGAAGAAAGTATCCTATGTGCATATGTGAGCCATGTAGACTTTGAAAGGAATCCCCAATAAACTGAGCCCCAAAGAGTCAAAGTAAGGGACATGTTTCTGGGTATCTTCCTTCCACCTCTTCACTGGGCTTCTGAGGTGCCTTTGTCCCTTGCAGCGAGACTGGGCCCCTGGGAGGCATTTGGTTTGGGTGGGTGACTAGTTTCCTCTTCACCAAATCTTCCTGGGGAGTCTCTTCCATTGTTTAACATTACTACCAAGACTTCCCTTTGTTTAACCTAAGCCACTTCTCTTGCCTCTTGAGGTCATTTCTTCTGAGCTGTTTTCTTTTTTTTTTTTTTTTCTTTTAAGATTTTATTCATTTATTTGAGAGAGAGAGAGAGAATGCGCCCGAGAGGGGAGGGGCAGAGAGAGAGAAGGAGAAGTAGACCCCCATGTGGGGCTTGATCCCAGGACCCTGGGATCACGACCTGCGCCGAAGGCAGATGCTTAACCGACTGAGCCACCCAGGCGCCTCTCTTCTGATCTGTGTTCGGCAGAAAGGAAGAAACAGAATGACAGTCACTGCTATCGGATCTGAGAATGCCCCATAGCTACACAAAAATCATGAAATCATTTCTCAGCCTTCCTTGCCAGGCAAAATGCTCCCAGCTATCCTACCGTGCCCTTACACGATGTCGACATCTTCAGGGTTCAGCACATGAGCCTAGCAACCACTGGCAGCAATTTGTTTAAGCCACAGAGAAATGGTTGCCAAAATGCAATAACAAAGTCAGGTTTCTTTCACGGCACCTGTCATGTTCTGCTGTGACCGCTGTTAACATGTTTCTTTCCTCACCTTTGCATGAGACCACTTGACTCAGAGGGGTGATAACCACGTCTGAATCTTCCCAGAAGCGGGCTCGGGACCTGGTGCACAGAGGCCCCCCCTGTGCCTTAGTGCAGAAGGAAGAGTAGCCATTTGGGAACTTGTGAGCAAGTCTTGTACAGTTATGGGGACCTAGAGGAACCCTTGGGTTGGAGACCATGAAGGTGATGCTCCATGAAGAGAGCACCCCCCCCACCCCCCTGAATACCTCAGCTACTTTTTATATCAGGGCCCTTTCTTCTGCACCATCAGGACACAGGTAGCCAAATAGAACTGAGAGAAACAGTACACCTCAAGCATGATGTGGAAAAAGGAAGAGTGAGCCAAAGAAGTCACTCTCGCTTGGTTCTTCTGGGGGAGAAAGTAGCCAACACAATGCCGTTGGTCAAAAGTAAATCCTGGCAGTTAGAATGTGAATTTGACACAACCCCTCCTCTCTCAGCCTAGTCGTCTTTCTCAGACGACTGTTCCGATAAGGGGCCTTCAGTGAGTTAACCAACCGACCTTCCTTCCTTCCTTCTACTCCAATCCCTTCCCCCCCAAAGACATAGGTTTCTGTCTGTTTGTTTTTAAGATTCTTACAAAGCTTATAACGAAGCTTTCCTGCTTCCTTATCATATTACAGCTTTATACTTTTATGTGCAGTGACTCAGTAACAAAGATGACATCACCCTGGGTCTGCTTAGTATCGTCCCCTCACTACCAACCACCCCAGGCACCCAGTCAGGACACAGGAAAAATTCAGTTACCGATGCGATCATAAGAGCCTCTTTGCAGCTGTCTCCTGGGGACTCCCTCTTCCTTAGGAGGGAACACTGGTGAAATTACACGCTTTTTCTCACATGTACTGGTAGCGACTGATAAAGATCATTCCTCCCAGAGCGGGCACCATGGACAGGGATATGGGCTCTGCTTCCCTCTTCAGATAAAACTGTCCATGAAATAGACCAGAATGGGGACTCTAGGTTTAAATAAAAGTGCCTCGGGAGGACCCTGCAGGTAGTGAATGTGGAAATCATGCGTGGAAAGAGCATTGGCAGCTACCAGACTTGTAAAGATGGGTGCATTTTGGTTGGATGCTCATTCCTTGCTTTTTTAGGGCAAAAAACGTTTTCCCTCTGCCGTGCCTGATAGGAAAAGTGTCCCGAGCCTGACAAATACCCAGGTAATCTCTCTCTTAGGACATCTCCTACATACCACATACCGTGAAGACTCTTGCTTTGTTTGGGGGCAGGCAGAATCCTTTTCCCTTCCACAGCCTCAGCCCCACGCATTCCCTTCTTCACCCCAGCACAACACACTTGATTTTAACTAGTGTTTGGGGATTTTGCTTCTGTCAGTGAGAATAAGCTCGTTTTCACTTGGCTTCCCTCAGCCTTTTCATCTATTCTCTTGGAAGCTGACTGCTGCCTCATAAAACAGCACGAAGCTATTATGCGCTCTTTAATCATCTGATGCATTGGAATCCTTTGGCAGACCCACTGTTCCAGTTTCAGGGGAGCCCGGTGACCCTGGGCTTGACCTTGCCCGATCCCTCTTTTCCCTTAAAATCCTCCTTGGTGTTACCTACATGCCGCTAACTGGCTCGTCAAAGTGCTAGGTCATTGCCATACAATGAAAGGCTATTGGAATCTCCTTCAACAATGTCCTTGACTGGCCAGGGTGTCCCTGGGACACTCCAGGGAGAGTGCCCGGCAGCACTGGTCTTCTAAGAGGCAACACCAGCCCAGGTGCCGTCCCCTTGCAAATTCCACGTTCCCTGTGTAGTTTCCTAGATTAGGTAATTCTGACTTTATTTTGCAATAGAAAGCTGCGTTGTCTGACATTATCCCAGCTTCTGTGATACATTTGTAAGAGCTGACTTCTCCCTTAGGTTTAGTGAGGAAGCACTAACAAAACAGATTCCGTTCTTCCCGGATTTCAGGCATTTCAATGGGAGCAACACTTTTGACCCGAACTCCTACTGTATCTATCTATCAGGTACCATAAATGCTGACTTGTCTCAACAGGGCTGCTAGTAGGAACCAACAGAGTACAAAAAGCTGAAATCAGATGCCACTTGTCTGTGTATTTCCCTACACAGCATGTTTTTTGTATTTATAGCCCCATTGTAACTCTGCCCATCAAACCAGCTTTTCCTCTCCAACCATCCATAGTCTTGGTTACTTTCACTTGCCAGACATTACTTCAGATTACTTTCTGTCATTTATTTGGCTTCAAACCCCCCAAATCTTGGGCCTTTCTGCTCCCATGCTGGTAGGAGTAACATTCCTCTGGCCCTTGCCTCCGCGCTCTGCACTGGAAGACAGAGTGAGCTGACTTCACCCCCTTTCTCTCACCCATCAAAGACACTCACGTGCACATGAGCCAAATCATAACATCTGGCAACTCCAGGAAGGGAAAGAACCGTAAGAGAGATCTTCCACAAGGAGAACCTCCTGAAATGGGATTATCTAAACCCACAGAGGCCCCAGGGGAAATTTGGTGGAAGGATTAGCTTGGCCCCCAGTGTGATACGGAGCACAGGGATACTAGGTGAAGGAGTGAAGAGATGGGACGAAAAGCTCATATGTCCTATACAGGAAGAGGGATGTTTGATTGTGACTAATAACTCTGGAAAGCAATGTGGCCTGAGAATGGCTTACGGTTGTGGGAAAATTATCCCAGTTCCCTGCCAAGGTCACTGAAGGGCTGGGCTAGCTGCCATATAATTTAGACTTGCAGAAGGAACTCATCTAGTGTACCACCTGCCCTTAACTACTCTAAATTTAGATGATTTTTTTCCCCCTGTCAGCAGCCATTGCTGGCTTTTGCCTGTCTCTCCAGCTTTTCACTGATTTCCAATTTTCTTCCCCAAGCCAAACAGAACATACTCTTGGGGCCAAGTATTCTTTCTCATGTATGAAGAAATGTAAGCAGAGTCATCTCAAGGCCCAAGAGAACAAGAAGAAGCAGCATTTCTCCCTCTCCGTCCCGCCAGACCCCCACTCCAATATAGTCTGCCTGTCGGGGGAGGGGAGGCAATGCCCTCGAATTCGGAACAACAGGCTCTTTCGCCGAGAGTGACAAGATCTGGGAACGCTGGATCCATGATCTCTGTTGCTAGTTCCAACTATTAATGATTCTGGCATACACAGGAGTGAGTAGAAATTTTTCAGAAGCCACAGTCCAAATATTTTGGGCAAGAGTCATAGAGGCTTCTTTGGTTTTGTACTACCCCAGGATGGAGATTAATTTGCGTTGTGACGCTGAGCTGGAGGAAAGCACAGCTGCCTGATGTTTACGCAGGAACAGTGGTCCTTGCTCTTCAAAAATGCAACTTAAATGACCCCTGGGACTTTCTTCTCTGTCTGGACATTTCGAACACCCACGGAAATTCCACGTACGTAGTCTATGGATTTGTGCCGAGGGGTTCTTTGACCCACAGCCTTGAAGGGGCACTGAAGGCTCTTTCCACGTGTTTGGCTGTGCTGTTCCTTGCCATCCTGAATTGTGTCACAAATTTCTAAGTCCTCAAAAATGTCCTTGTTTAGGAGTGCTTGTACTTGTAAGCCTTGTGGTGGCACTGATCCCTGCCCTTCACTTATCTCTTTCTGCGGCGATCTCCTTCACCCTTTGGGGTAGCGCACTCAGACACCTTTGTACCCCCCACGGCTTAGATGGGTGTCTGCTGCTCGGACAGGTGCTTAGAGACTGTTGCAAGAAAAAGCAGGTGCCCCCATCCCTTTTTTTTTTTTTTTTAAGATTGTATATTTATCTGTCAGCACAAGCAGGGGGAGCGGCAGGCAGAGGGAGAAGCAGGCTCCCCACGGAGCAGGGAGCCCAATGCAGGGCTTGATCCCAGGATGCTGGGATCATGACCTGAGCCAAAGGCAGCGGCTTAACCGCTGAGCCCCCCAGGCGCCCCTCCCCCGTGCCTTTGTACTGCCGTCCCAGCATTCTGTTAGAACTATTTACCTCTGTGCCCACCTCCCTTGCCATTTTGTGAGCGGCTGGAGGGGAGAATCCCGAGTCTAGGTGACTTTTGCAGCCCTCGGAGCACAGTGCTTTGTAGGCAGTAGGCGCTCAGTGTGGGTTTAGGAATCTGTTGGACGAATACATTACCCAGTTTAAGTCGCTCCCGGGCAAACTCCCACTTGCTGGCATCATAAGGGAGCCGCTCACACTGCTCGTCCAGGGGAACTTCGTCTGGGTCCATTATAATCGATAGGTAGTCCGTCTTTATTTCAGAAGAAGACTGAGAAAGAAAGAAAGAAAGAGATCTCAAAGTCACCAACAAGGAAACAACTTAAAAAACCCTGGATATCCAATTTAAAATAATACCCAGCAGCATCTGCTGCTATTTTGGTTCATTTGGTTGAAACCGTGCGGTTGGGTACAGAAAGTACCCCTCCGCATACACGTATGTACATCACACTTCCCATTAAATAACTCCTTACTCTTCTCACGCCGCATTTCTGTAGGCTGGTTCCGCCATATTGTCTCAGATAATATGCACCCAGATGGTCGGTGACCTTGTTGCTTGTTCTTAGACAATGATCAGATGATAGTCCTTCCCCAAAACATGCAAAGCATTTTTATAAAATCATTCCAAATAATTGACTGAAAATAACTTCCCATGGCCAATCTGTACAAGCAGGGATATACGTCACAAGCCAGGCCAACGGTGAGAAGTGTGACTGTGGCTTTTCCGCATTTGCAAGAAGGGCCAGAGGTGGCGAAGTGAACCCAGGAGCTCTGGGACAGTTGAGAGGCATATTTCATGTGAAGTATTTAAATATACTCAGAAGGCCTGGCCCCTTGGTTGCTGCAGGTACCTAGAAACACTATGGGATCCGTTGGTGAGAACAGAATAAGATTTACCTTCAATAAGAAATAGAAGTTGATTATTTCAAAGGCCGAGGAGTCTATAAGGCATGGGACTTAAACACAGCCATGTCCTGAGCTTTGGCCATTAGTAGGATTGTCAAATAAGTAAGGCGGGCATCTGCCTTCAGGTGCTTATTTTATCTTGGTAATGGACATCAAGCCCAGAAAAGATCCTTTATTTCATAAGCATAGATAAGTGGATTTACATTTTGTGTCTTAGATTCCCATCAATGAATTTATTGCCTGTTGATTCAATGTAGAAGTGATGATGGCATTTCTACGGGCAGTTCAGAAAAGAAGGTTGCTTACCCATATAAGGTGGGTTTGGGTAAGTCTTGCCTAGAAGTTACAGCAACTTCATTTTCAGTGAGTTTTGGAACCCTCTTGCGTTGCCCTTCCCTGGGCAGGACCAGAGTTCAGGAGAGAAGTCACCCTCTCCATCCACACCATTTCACGCTCGCCCGCATTCTTCAGCTCTTACTCACCCTGTTCTGGACTGTCACCGCTCACCTCATCCATCACTTGCAATCGGTCTCCTTCTCCTAGAAATTATCACTAAAATGTGTGACAAATAGCTCAAAGCAGAAAGATCTGCCTGGCCTCCACGGCGAGTGGAAACCAGAGAAAGATACGGAGCACATTTGTCACGAGCTGCATTTGCCACTGGTGCTAATCTGTGAGGGCCAGCCCATCAGACCCTCGTGTGAGTCTGGGAAGGAATACAAGTTCCTCTCCCAGGGTGCTGGATGTGTACTAGAGAAGCCACGTGAGTAGGTTTTAGGACTGTACTTTTTGATGTCCAATATAGCCAAGGCCGTGAGAAAAAACCTCCAATCTTCAAAGAGCCCAGGCTAGCTGAAGCCTAGCAAGGAACGTGTCAGTTTTGGGAGCACACGTGGGGAGGCTGGTGGAGGTGTTGAGAGAGACAGGGGATCAGGCAATGAAAGACAATCTCCCCATGGAATTTTATGGTTTATCTCAATAAGGCAGATGAGAGGGAACACCAGACAAACCTCAAGGAAGGGCTGGAGGAGAGTCGGATAGTAGAATCTTAGTTGACAAATATTTATTCTTTCAATTGACATTAACACTGAGCAGCTACTAGGTGTTAGGCATGGAAGTTGCACAGCTCAGTGCTTCAGGGCCCAGGCATTGAGCTGGCTGCCCGGCTCTGAGTCACAGATCAACTCTGGACCAGCACCTAACCTTGGCAAGTCGCTTAACCTCTCTAAACCTGGTATCCTTATCTGCGAAATAATGATAATGACGGTGCTTATCTCCCAGGCTTGTGGTGAATATTGCATGAAATGATCCATGTCAAGCTATGAGAACGGGGCCTGGGACACAGTAAGCATCCATCAATGCTAGCTCTAATTCTAACGCTGACCTATGCGGCGTGGGGGTAAAAGGATAACATCCAGTCCATATCAATGAGGAATTCACTTGCGGTTACAGAAACCACATGGAAATAGTTTTTGAGGGCCTGTATCTCTTTACCTCCCACAATTAATCACTTTTCAAATTCCCTAAGGATCCTCTTCTGGAAGGAATCATCTCTTGCTCTCATCCTTTCTTATTGACATCAAGATTTCAGATTTTTAGAAATACTAGGGCCATCTTCAATTTAGTCCCAATGCACCTTTCCAGCTTTATTTCCACTCTGCTCCTGTGGGGTCCTTCCCTCCTCTGGGGAGTGGGGAGGAGGAGAGTGGGCTGCCTTTTTCTGCTGCCTTCCTTCCTGCCACAACCTTCGAATTCGTTCTCTAAACTTCATTTTCTCTGAAGTTTTTTCTCCCCCTCCCTCCTTTGTAGCCTTTGGACCTCCCTTCCAGATTTGGCAAGCTTTGCTTTTGTTAGACCTACTTCCCTACGCGCTCTGTCTCCCCTTTCAAATGCCGGTGGTGTGGCCTTTGTGTCCTTCTAAAGCAGTGGCCTTCACTGTCACGTCCCAAAACCAATCATTCCATACAGCTGACGCCTGATGTTACATATTACCACAGAAGGCTCCTGCTTAGCCTTGCCTCTCATATCGACACTATAAAGTACACCTCGTTGGTTTTGGTTACTAAGCCTAAGGTCGCACAACCTGGGTTCAACACTCAGCTCCAACTCTAACTAGCTTTGTGACTTTGGACAAGTTATTTTACCTCTCTGAACCGTACTTTCTTTCTGTCTACGATGGGAATGATAATATATCTACCTCTTTGCATTTTTGGAAGGATTAATTGGGATACTACATGAAGAGCTCGTCATGAGACCTGGCATGATAACAAGGACTAAGAAATCTCTAGAAATGGAGGAGGCCTCCTTGACACTTTTCAAGTCCTGTTGATTTTACCCGCTAAATATGTCTTGAATTCTAATCCCTTAGACTAAGAGCTACTATCATTTCTTACTTGGGTTACTAGAAAGTCTTCTGGTAGGTTCCTCTCTATGCACCCTTGCCTCCTCTGGTCCATTCTCATAGCAGCCAAAATTCTCTTTCCAGACACTGCTCTCTTACACTGATTGCCTCCTTTTGCTTAACAACACCCCACCCCCACGACGCCAGGCTTCCTTTTACTTCCAGAACACGGACTAAATTTCTTACCTCAGCCTGCAAGGCCCTGTGTGGCCAGCCTTTGCATCCTCTCCTCTCCCGCCTCACCTCCTACCTTGTTCCCTCCACGGCAGCCACACGGGCCTCCATCAGGCTCTCGTTCCCAAGGCGTCCCTGTCCTGCCCCAGCCTCACACAGGCTTTCCCTCGGCCTGAAGCACTTTTCCCTCCCTCTGGGCCCGACTGCCCGCCCCTTACAGGACATCTTTCGGTCAGCTGCCTCTAGCGCGGCAGGTTCACATTTGTCTGTCTAACTGGTGAAAGCCAGGCTCCTCTCCAGACCGCACACTCTGCGTGTCCTCTCCACTGCCACCCAAGGGCCTGACACCGGGCCTGATGCTCCTCGTGGAGCAGGTGCACGGTAAATGTTGGAGGCATGAATGAATGGATGAACGCTTGTCGGCTCTTCTCCCCCGGACTGCAGAGAAGCAAGTGGGGCTGCAGGCCTGATGATAGAGATCTGATGTCCTGTGCTCAGGCTGAACCTCGCAGCAAAGAACGTAGTTGTGTGGTGGGGCTCAGAGGGCACGGAACCGCCGTGTGCTGTGTGCACTCCCATAATGTTATGAGACGTAAGTCAGAGGGGGTCTCTATTTTGCATTTTCCTTTTCATTTCTTGGCAGAGAATAAGAAAGACTTTGCAGGCCTTATGCTGAATTTAAAGATTTTATGCCATATCTTTATATCAAAAACATCCCTTCTGTTTCTGGGAAATAGTCCTCCGTTCGTTGCGCTAGCTTTGGATGTGAACACTCCCGTTAACGGTTGAGAGGCATTTTAATGATCTATGTTTGGTGCTCCCCAGGTCCGAGACAGAAGCCAGGGGGGAAGGGGATTAGAGTCTAACACTGGCTCCGTGCCTGCTCTGGCCGTGAGAAGCATTTTAGAACATTATGTAAAAAGGAACGCAGAATTTCATCTGAAATGTTCTTACCCTTTTCAGTTTTCGGATAAAGAGCGTTAACAGGAGCCAGAAGAGGGTTGCAGCCACGCAGGTGCATGTCAGAGTGATGAGCTCCAGGTTAGACTTGTCCGAGGTTCCTGGAGAGAGAAAACCATCAGGCTGATCCTCAAAAGGCACCGGCCAACTTAAGAGTCCTTGTGATTCTAGAAAACGGGTCTGATGCCCCTACATGGTTCATCATGGCGAACGCAATCTGCTGGTGCAAGAGTTAGTCTGGGACAGGTCCTCTCTTACCTTCTGAGTCAGGCAGGGCGCATGATGTTATCATCATAAACTCACGCAGAAATGAAAAGACTTTCCAGAAATTCTGCGGTTGAGTTTGCAAACTCTGTAATCCCAGAAATAGCTAATGAAAAATCAGAGGAGAAATTTTTAAAAAGGAAAAAATTAAGACAGGAACAAAAGCCCATTAAAGTGCTAAATCTGGAATACGTGAAATCTCCCTACAGGGTTTTAGAGGAAATTCTAAAGAAAAAGAAAAAAAGTAACAAAAATGACATAAAAGCGCTCCTCTGGGACTCACAAAATGCCTCTACTTTGATTTTAAAAATAAAAATAAAACTCAAGGACTGTTAGAGGTGCCTGCTCGCTGCTTTTGGAACAGTCGGGCCAAACTGCCCACCTCCTGCTCCCCACTCCTGGCTCCGTTTCTGACCTTCACAGCAGCAGCTGACCCTGCAGGGGGGCTGGGATGCCAAGGGGGTCCTTCCCAATCGCCTCATTTCCCGGAATCACACACAGATCAAAAGCTGAGCAGTCTCTCCACCACCAAAAAGAAACGACCCAAAGCGTTCAGGAGAAGCCTCCAGAGAGGAAGATCTTTGGGATTTGGAAAGGAATGCCCCAGTGGGCCAGGACAGTGGTTCCCTACTTACAGACTCCAGGGGACAGTTTCTGGAGAATTCTAAAGTAGTGCCTCATCCTTTAACCTCATTACAGGGAGACAGAGGCTCCCTATTAAGCTGGGGAAGAACAAATGGAACTTATTCTCTTTAGAAATAATGATGTGGGGGCGCCTAGGTGGCTCAGTCAGTTAAGCATCTGCCTTCGGCTCAGGTCATGATCCTAGGGTCCTGGGATCGAGCCCTGAGTTGGGCTCCCTGCTCAGCAGGGAGCCTGCTTCTCCCTCTCCCTCTGCCTCCTCCCCCCTGCTCATGCCCTGTCTCTCGCAAATAAATAAATAAAATCTTTTTTAAAGAAGAATGATAGGAATGGTATCATTGAGCACTTATCATGTGCCAAGCAAGCCCTCAGAACCACCCCATGAAATAGGTAGCAATAATATCCCCATTTCCTAGACAAAGTGCTACATCTCGTGGGCTCTTTGTTTCAATTCAACAAGAAGGTACAGACTCCTACTGCAGGTGACAGTCAGTCTGGAGGAGATGGGAAGATGAGCAAGAGAAAGTTGTCACGCTCCGGGGGCTCACTGCCAACCTAACTGAGACGTAAGGCAAATACAAAGAAATGAGGGTTGAGGGAATCTAACGCTTTTTGGAAGAGGCGACATTTGAAATGGATGGTGGCCTACAGAGATGAGGCGGGGAGGGCACAGAGACAGACGGGACAGCAGGAGTGAGGACCCAGAGCTGGGAAATGACGGGGCGCACATGGCAATATACGGGCAGGCCGGGACCCGACTGCAGAGAGTTCGAGCATCTGTGTGAAGGGTTTAAACTCCATGCTGCCTGCGGGCGGTTGGAGCCAGTGAAGTTTCTCTGAAGAACAGCAAATGCACAAGTTAGAAAGCCGAGCCGCTTCCTTCTTCCCTCTATCCATGTGCTTCCTGCAGCCCACGGTCCCTGCTGCAGTGGATCTTTCCATCTAGAGGGGAAATGCACATTTTCTCCCCCAACCACTCCAACGCAAAGTCCCGCCCCTTCTCCTCCCAAGGCTCAGGAGATTGTCCCCTCCTGTGCTGCCAGGCTCTCACTGCCTACCTCGAGGCCCTGTCACCTGGACCACGGCACCAGCTTCTTGACCCGCCCTGACTCCCCCCAGATCTCCTCCTCGCTGAGCCAGCGTGACTTTGCTTCCGTCCAAATGCCATCACTGCCCACCTCTGCCCCCATGGCTGTCAGGATAAAAATCCAAATCTTTGGATCCTTTGTGCCCAACCTTGCTTGTCTCTTCAGCTTCATCTCCGACCATCCTCCCACTTGCTCCAATCACATCAAAATACTTGTAGTTTCTTAAATTGACCAGCCCTCTTGCACCTCCACGCTTTGGTCCTCACTGTTTCTCTACCAGAATGTAAGCTGCCAGGAGCTGTGGCCACATTCCCGTCCCCGCTCCTCGGACTGGGTGAGTGAGTGGGTAAATTATGATTGGCTTTGTCGCCCAAGAGCTTCATGAAGCTTTCAAAGGGTTCAGGGTCAAATTCCTGTTCATGGGCATTAATCCAATAAACACAGGGAACACCACCTATGTTGCAGGCTCTGTTCTAGATGCTGGTATGTGGTGGTAGATGAAAGGTATGGTCTGGAGTTCACAGTCTGGCACTCACATCTGAACAGGTGAATAGGTTCAAAGTTCCTATCCAAAGCAGCAGAATGTAGGATCGTGGTTCTCCTGTTCACCGCTCTGTCTCTGGTGTTTAGAAGAGTGCCCAGCACTGAGTAGGCATCCTGAATATAGTGGGTGAGTGAATGAATGAATGAATTTGGCTTCATTTGCTGCATTGTTAGCTTGTGGCCGTTTCCCTGAACCTCATGAGAATGAGAACAGCTTTGTTGAAGTTTCGAAGTATGATAAGTTTTTCTCTCTGTATGCATCCTCTCGACGGGAATATTGTAAGCTCAAGTTAATATGAGTTTGGCTTTCCTCTCCCATGTGAAAGGTCTAATGCTGCCCTGCTGTATTCACACACACACACACACACACACACACACGCACTCACACTTACACATGCTCTCACACTCGCACTCTTCTCTGCTTATGCTGCAAATAAGTTTTGTGGAATCTTACTGGGACCTGCTTGGGCCATAGTGGCCTTGGGCTGTTGGGGATGCTGACAGCATCTTGAGACATGGCACTGTCTGCATCAAACCTCTGCAGAGGCCTCCTGCCTGGAATGCCCTGGGAGAGGCCCCCTCCCATTGTGGGAACTTTCCCACTGCATTCCACGGGGCAGGAAGTTGACCCCCAAAGTAATTCCACAGCCCTTACTCAGGCAAAATTCCTTTCAGTGGGACCAAATGTGTTTGTGTGCACTTACACATTTAAAGAACTCATTAAGAAACATCTTCAAGATGAACATTTATTGCAGGCGAAAGATCTTTCTAGTGTTCTATCCCTGCTTACTGAAAACTAGAATGGGAATTTAACAGGGTATCATGCAGTATCTGTGCTCTTTCTGTCTCACTTGCTTTATTTGGAAAGTAACCATTAGGATAGTCTTATGTTGAGGAGACTGACTTAAGTCAGCAACATCTCTTCATATGCAGCTCTTGGATGTTTTCTCAGAGGTCATACATCCCCACACTGGTCTGACTAGACCCAGCTTCAACAGGCTGGTGACAGCTGATGAGCTCAGTCCATGAAATGGCCCAGCTGCACATGGCAGGGGGAAAGGAGGCGAGAGGAAACGTGGGTGGGGTTGACACTAACTAGGAGTGGGCCCTGGGGCTCGGACCGTTGCGCTCATAGGCCGTGTGTGCAAGCCTGCATCAGGGCACACTGCGAGGTTATTTTTATATGGGAGAGTGACCAGACTGTGGCTCCTCTGAAGAGCTAGGGTGACTGTACTTTTTATTCCAGACCGCTAACCCTGCTGCACAGAGTCCTCCCTGTCAGTTACCCTCTGAGGCTCCAGACCACCCCTCCTGGGACAGGAAGTGCGGATGCCCCCCCCAGGGGAGGCACTGAGTCTTGAGGGGTGACGTGCCTAGTTTAGAGTCTGTGTAACCGCAGTGGCTGGCTACCCTGCCCTGAGCCTTTGTGATGGTGACGGCCGCTCCCTCTGCCCAGGCCTGGACTCTGGGTTGCGGCCGCACCCCCCAACCCTGACACGCAGGGCCAGGAAACTCAACTCTCACAGTAGAACCGGTGGTGCTTCCCAAGAGGTTAGGAAAGCTCCCCAAGCACAAGACCAGGGCCTCTTGCTCTGGGACCTGCCTTGACTTGAGATGAGCCCAAGTATCACCAGGAAAGGGGAGGAAGCAAGCAGCTATGTCTTAGATCGAGGACCCCGTGCCCCAGCGGCCTCATCCTCCACATGTGCAGGTAACAAGAGCACCCTAGCTCACAGGAGAAATGTGTGAACCTAGTGGGAGCCATTCTTTTCAAGGTTCCCCCCAACCCCAGAACTCCCTTTCCTTTTTTTTTCTTTTTTTTTAAATCCTTCTTAGTTTTTGGACTTCAAGTACAAGATAATTTGGTTTCCATCCAAACCTAGTGCATATATATCACAATTTGTCTCTTCTTTCTAAAACTACTCAGACTTTGGCCAAATACCGATCGTTTTCTACAGACAAATGGGTCACTACTTGCCCTGAGACATTTGCCTCATACCTGCCAGGGTGGCTTAGGTGTTGTTCTCTGGTTCTATCATTATTTTAATTTGAGGTAACTATTCATTTGGGTTTATTGCCCATTAAATTCTTGAGACATCAAGAGATGGGTGTGTTTCATGTTCATTTGGCATCTCCAGCACTGGCCCAGTGGAAGTCTCAATATTTATATATGGATGAAAAGAAAATCAATCAGATACACTTAGACCTGATCTTCCACATGAGCCAGTCAAGAAGTGCTACTTCATTTTATCTAAAATCCAATAACCAACAATCCAGTTAACCTTATTACATAATTTCTCTAAGACTTATTGGAATATTAAAATTGGCTCTCCTACTATTAATGAAGCTCTTTGGGAATCTTTGTACACCAGTTTGGAACCCCTCTTAAGAACAGAGAACTACTGTATTCAGATTAAATTAGAAGTAAGTTTTCAAGAATAATTTTAGGTAAAGATATTTAAAATAGCAGGGGCGCCTGGGTGGCTCAGTCGTTAAGTGTCTGCCTTCAGCTCAGGTCATGGTCCCAGGGTCCTGGGATGGAGCCCCGCATCAGGCTCCTTGCT